AATCTCCAATATGAAAAACTCTATTAGTCTTATATCTATCTATTATATTCTTCATACGATACCGAGTATGGATGAGATGGTATTTAAGTAATTTCGGAACATCCTTCTTCTCTAACAATAGATGATCTACTCCATCAACTTGGGAATCTCCTAATATATATGGTAAATGTAATGGTAGAGCATATCCATATACGACTTTAAAAGGAGACATTTGAATTATAGAATGACTCGTAGTCTTATACCAATTCTCTACTAAGGATAACCATCTACTTCAATTTTTAGGATTTGAAAAAGTCATGGAGTAAAGGTAAGTTTGTAGACATCTATTCACACCTTGGACCGGCCATCTGTTTAAGGGTGATAGGTTATTGAAAAATGTAAAGAAACTCCTAATAATACAAATAATTTTCTCTAAAATTTTCTCAAAAATACTGAATCTCTATCTAAAATAATGTTACTAGATAATCTATACAATTTGAAAATAGAATCCATGAATGCTTAAGCTACTATAATGGTTGTTTATGGATGAGCAAGAGCTATAAAATGTGTATATTTTGTTAAACGATCTACCACCACCATAATAACACTCTTCCCATGTGATAAAGGTAAATCATCAATAAAATCCATGGTAACATTTGTAAAAATTGCTTGTGGCATAGGTAATGGATTAAATAAACCATGAGTGGCAATAGTTTCATACTTACATTATTGACATATGGGATACTTACAAACATACTCTCGTATTGATTTGGAAAACCCTTTCCAATAAAAAAGAATAGATAACTTCTTTGTTGTTGCCTCCACCTCAAAATGACCACCCACTGCAGATATCATGGGACAAGGAGATCAAATGCCGCCGCAATGCTATATCATGTTTCACCACCAATTTACCCCTCTTAAGTAATTGGTCATTTTTCCACACATATTTAGAAATAGTTGGAATCTCACCCTTTAATTGATCAATAACATATTTTAGATAAGAATCTTGATACTATGAAGATATCACCTTAGGGAAAAACATCGAGTAAACATAGATGAAACTAGCAAAATTGATAATTCCGCACTAAGCGATCTAGATAATGCATCCACCATTTTATTTTCCCTCCCTTTTTGTACTTAATATCATAATTATACTCCATTAACTTAACTAACCAAGTATGTTGGGATGCGGTAAGTAACCTCTATCCTAAAAAATGTTTAAGACTCGATGATCAGTCTTAATAATAAAATGTCTATCCGTTAAGTATTGATGTCACTTCTTGATTGCAAACAAAATTATAAACAACTCCTTCTCATACACTAACAAAGCTTGATGTTTTGGAGAAAGGACTTTGTTGATATACGTGACTAGATGTCCTATTTGCATTAAAACGAGCTCCAATACTAGCTCTAGATGTATTTGTCTTTAATATAAACCACTTAGACAAATCGAGTAGATCTAAAACTCGGAGTATTAATCATAGCTACTTCTAGTTATTGAAAAGGAGCATCCGCTTATGAAGTCCATTGGAAATCATCTTTCTTAAGTAAATCAATTAAGGTTTTTGCTAGCTTTTCATAATTTTAAACAAACCCGTGATAGTATCCGAGTTAAGCCTAAGAAGCCATGCAATTGTTTGAGATTTCTAGGCTAAGGCCATGCCTCGAACCGTTGCAATCTTTTTGGTATCTATTTGAACTACTACGAGTAGAAATGAAATGTCCAAGGTGTTCCACTTTTGGAGTACCTAAAGTGCATTTGGATCTTTTTGTATACAAAACGTTTTTCTAAGAACTAAAAGAGTTATGGTTAAATTTTTTACATAGTCAAAAAATGATTTGCTATCAACTAGGATGTCATCAAAGAAAACCAAAATAATTTTTTTAAAAAAAAGGTTAAAAAATAGGATTCATAAGACTTTGAAAGGTACTAGGGCCATTGGTAAGTCCAAATGGCATCACCAAGTATTCATAATTACCATTGTGAGTTTTAAATGCTATTTTGTAAATGTCAAGTTCAAAAACTCTTATTTGATGATATCCTCGCTTTTAAATCTAGTTTAGAAAAGACCATAAGTCCATGCAATTCTTCTAAAAGTTCCTCAATAACTAAAATAGGAAACCGATCATGAATGGTGAGCTAATTAACCATTTTGTAGTCCATACACATTCATCAAGATCTATCTTTTTTCTTTGCCAACACTACTTGGAGAAGAGAATGGACTTGGGCTAGATTGAATAATCATTGTTTCTAACATTTCTTGTATCATTTGCTCAATAACATCCTTTTGGGTAGGGGTATCGATATAATTTCATATTAACTTATTCGGATCTTGACTTCAAACTAATTTTATGATCATAAGCTCTCTAGGAGGTAATCCTTTTAGTTTTTCAAAAATATCAAAAAATTCATCCAAGACTATCTATATCTTTACAAGTACTCGAATCCACAACCTTCAACTCAAACAATTCTACTCGGATCTTTCCAAGTACTAAATAATTGGTTTAGTTATAACCAATTCAGATCGCTTCTATTTGTCAATCCCTCTAGTCATTGTTTTTTCCTCTCGAGGACTAAGAAGCTTAGCATATTTCTTTTGTAAAATCAACTCCCGCCAAAAAAACTTCATCCATAATGACTTAAAGTTTCATATTCTATCTCTCAATCCATATAGCCATTCTATTCTCAAGATCATATCATAAATTCATAACAACAATACAAAAACTCTAGTTTCAAACTTATTCTTCGCATCTTCCACTTAAAGGAGTTACACACAATCTCAATCCATTTAGCCACTTTAATAATTACTTGGTTTAATCTTAGTCAACTCACAATTAATCTGCTTAGCAAACCAATCTGTTTAGGAAATTAGGAGTACTACTAGTATCAATCGGGATTTTCATTCCTCATCTTTGATTCTTTCCTTTAACTCTTATGGTTTTATATTGATTTCTCCCAAATAATGCACTCATAGAAATTTAATATAATTCCCCCACATAATTGTTTTCATTAACATCGGCATACTCAACTACAACTAACTTAGCATTTTCCCATGCTCCATTATTATCTTCTACTTCTAACATATATACTTGCATTTCTTTGCATTTGTGTCTAGGAAAGTATTTCTCATCGCGTAAGTAGCACCGTCCTCTTAGTCTATGCTCATCCAACTTTTTATTGCTTGGAAGTTTTTTGGTTTTGAATACTAAATTGTCCTTTTGAAATTGAAAAGGTGGTGTCAAAGCCTTTTTTAGTAACAAGGTTATCAATAAGGTTGGTAGAAGTTTGCATATTGGTTGAAGTATGTAGGTTGTTTTGGAATGGTGCATTTGTATTGTTTCTTTGATTGCTCATAGGTAGAGGTCTATTAACATAAATAGCAGGATTATGAACAGTTATGTAATTGAATTTGGATCCAAAAGTTGAGGTATTAAGGCTAATTTCTTGTAGTTTAGCTAAGGAAACTACAACTTTTAGGGTTTTAGGCTTAACCATACATATTGGTACCTACAATTCAGCTTTCAAGTTCGCCTAAGAAACAACTAACTACATAATCTTCTTCTAAAAATAGTTTATTTACCAGAGATATAAATTTCTTAAGATGACTCTGGACATTTTTATTTTGTTTCAAATTCATCAATTCATTCATAGGATCACTATAAATCATTGCTCCAAATCTTGTATTTAAGGCCTATAAATATTCATCCCAATCAATTCCGACATTTTCTCCTTTCATTCTTACACATATTCATCCCATTCAAGTCTAAAATTTTCTCCTTTCATTCTAACACACACTCGATGCCATTCTAATGCTTCTCCCTTCAAATGTATTGAAGCGCATTTACTCTAGTTTCCCTAGGTGTTTTGTCAATATCAAAGAATTGTTCACACCTAAAAATCCAACCCTCTAAATCTTCTCCATTGAAACTTAGAAATTCCACCCTAGACAATCTAGTGTTAGCTTGATACTCGTATTAAAACCATGTATTCCTCCATTAAAACTCATATTTTCCCCATTAATATTCACATTTCTACCATCACCATGAACTCCTACATTAACATACTATTCTTGAGTCCGGAACCCCCTATCTTGATTTAGATTAGCTTGCATATTCCTGTTAATTTACACTCTTCATTAATTCCTTAATTTTTGCTATTTCCTTACTATGTTAATAAGCCATATCATCTAGTTTCTTAGTAAAGTCAGATATTACCTTAGTCAAACTATTGATGGATTCTCCTTCCTTGAATCTTCATTTCCTTTTGCCATCATAGGTCACAGGTGCCAAGAAGGTGCTCCGCTACCAATTGTTACCGGTTATAGTTCTAGCAAAGAACCCAAGAAAGAATTGAACAAATTGTGGTTTTATTCATGCAAATGCAGGAAATACATGCTGTGAAGTTGAAATACAGGAAATTTAAAGAATGTAAGAATTGTTTTACAGAGAGAGCTCAAAGAAGAAAAACAGAGAGAATTGATTTTATAAATGATCCAAGACAATCTTTCTCATCTATAATCTCTCCCTATATACAACTACATTTACTAACTAACTAACAACGTGCTAACTAACTCGTAATAGCTTCTCTGACTGCCTTCGTAACAACCTCCCATCATTTGCCATTGTCATTAGTCTTGCTCCCCTTGCCAGCCTGTCATCAATCCACCTCAGCATTGCTAGCACTGCTACCTTCCCTGCAACTTAAATCTCAATTTCCCCTAATGATGTCATGTTGAGCTCCTTCCAAACCTTGCCTTGTATCAGGTTATGATAGACAAACAGAGATAAAATTTTAATTTAAGTACAAATGGCCATCTTGCATAGAGCTAAAGCACACATTAAAAATATACATGAGAAAGTTTCTAGCTGCAATTCGAAGAAAGACATAGAAAACATACAGTACGTTTACTCAGACAGGACTAACCAGAACCAGTAATTTATCAACTGGCTGTTCTTAGAAAAACTATATATATATATATATACACACACACACATATATAGGAACAACATTTTCTGGACATCTACTCAGGGAAAGCAGCAGACATGAATTCCTCATCCTCCTCAAAAATTTGCAGATTCTTGGACTTCATTAAGAACTGAACTGCTTCTTCATTGAAACTGACCAGGACAGCGAACTTGATCAGCTCAGAGAGTGCATTTATATGATCTTCTTTATCCCACAAAATGCCCTCAGCTATGGCTTCGGAGAAATATGTGGCATACTCCATGCGAATTTTGGGTCCACCAGTCTTGTCGGGCTTCTGGGTAAAAAACTTTGAACTCTTCCTATCCCAACGAATCATTCGATCAGCTCTCACTTTCACAATCTCCCCTGAAGACAGTGACAAACTATAGCTTACAGTAATTGGCTCCGCAGTCACTAGGGCAGTGATGTTGAGGAGACACTGGACAGCTTCATGCCTCTTTCTCACTTCCATTTTTAAAGAAGGACCAGCTAAAAAGCCAAGAACGAGCCGAACCAGCTCTTTTCCGATAAAAAGGCCTCTTGGATTCACCCGTTTGAGTTTTACCCCATCTGTCAAGGACAGTTCTTCCTTCTGCGCTGATTCAGAAATTGTGCGAACCCCAATTTTACTGTATATTTCAAGCAACTTGCTTCGGGGCAAAGAAGGCGAGCTCGGCTGAGGATACCAGACCAGTACTGGGCGAGGGGAAAGCTTTTCAAAAAGTTCCTTCAGAAGAAGGTCATCAGCTACAAAAACATCATCCTTGTCGAACAACAAAATTTCTCCACAGCCAGAATGAACAGGCAATTTCATTAAGCCATCAGCAAGAGTTCTCTCCACCTTTGAGCTCCATTGACTCAACACACACTCCCAGAATGCACAACACTGAGCATGTGATAATTGGTGTCCTGAAGTTTCCCAAACCTTCCAAAGCTTGCAGTGAGCATCAAGAGAAGGATTAGAAGGGACATCAAATGATTTGGAGAAGAAACAAAGCAAGTTTGGATCATAGTAGTCCTCCAAAAAATAAACTGTTGACCAAAAAGAGCATCGTGGTTGTTCATGACACATTCTTCTGGATTAACCCACTTACCATACTTCTTTCCATCAGGAATCCAAATCTTTCTAGTTGCGTCACTTTCTGGCTTCCACCTATGTTCGCTCAAAAAGTTGTATATTCGAACAATAGTGGAAAATTCCGAATGGTGATATAAGTTACTGGCTAGCAATGAGCATCCTTTTTCTACTTCAACAGTAACTCCTATAGAGCTCAGCTCTTCCCTATATGATGTGATGTTAGAACCATAAAACTCTTCATCAATGAAAGGTCCGTCGGTGTTCTTCACATATAAACCCCATTTGGAATCAAACAAGCAGCAGTTGTCTGGAGTTCTGTAGCCGACATGGGTCTTTAACCACTCTTGATGAACATTTTTCAGAAAAGTGTCTGGAAAGGAGTAATCCTTCTCTTGCAATAAAATTCGGATGCACTCCAGCAAAGAGAACACATTCTCAGGAGTTATGTGACAAGGATTCAGAGGAAAATAAAGACCAGCAGCCACAAGCTTCACACCAGCTTTAACTTCAACAACAACTCCCATCTGCTTCAGCTCCTTTTCATACTCACGAATGCCCTTCCCGTAGAAGCTGTCCCTATCATCAATGAACGGAAGGAGAGTAACTGCACAGATTGACTCCCATTCAGGACCATACAGAATGCAGTTTCTTGGACACCTATAATCACCGAGCCGAGTCCTCAACCATTTCACTTCACGGATGCACTTCTTCTGAGCTGGAGGGAATTTATGAGAAGTTTCCTTTAGCTTTCTGTAGCATGACAGGAACGAAATAACATTTTCTTTTGTAATGGAAGAAAACGATGCCTGTCGTTCAAAAGAGCGGACAAACACCTTGACAGCCTCCTCAAAATCTACCTTTACTCCCAGCTGCTTCAACTCATTTTTGCGAGTGGTGAAGCGGCTTTCATAGAGATTATGATCAATCAATGGGACGTTATTAAAAACCTTTAGAAGGCAGCCCCATTCAGGATCAGAAAAGAAACAATCAGCTGGCAATTTGTAACCAATATTTGTCTTCAAACATCTCACGCTTTGGAGAGCATTGGCAACTTTGCAAGAAGATGTTGAATGATGCATGCAATCTAATATAAACAAAAGAGACTCCGCTGTCAGAGAAGTTGAATTTGTAAACAATAAGTTGTCAACAACCATCTGGTAACTTCCATTGAAGTCAACTATGATACCAAGCAACTGAAGCTCTGGTTTGAAACAATGAATTTCTTCACCATAATAATCTTCATCAATGAAGGGTATTGTACTTAGTTGCCTTGCAATTTTCCACTCTTCATTGTACAGCACAGATCCAATTGGAGACCTTCTCCCACGGGAAGTTCTTAGCCATCTGCCTTCTTTAATTCTGCTAACAAAATCATCGGGAGAAAGAAAATTTTGCTTCAAAAATTTGATGAAATTGAGCATCGATATCACACTGCTTCTAGACAAAGTGGATGAAGCAGCAAGAGACAGCAGATGATTTCCAATAAATCGGCATGCTTCACCATATTCGAACATGACTCCAATTGTCTTTAGCTCCTCCTTGTACTCATTAATCTTATCACCGTAAAAACTCTGGTCGACTATTGGGATATCCACCAGCTCAGTTCCATTCTGCAAAATTGTTCCCCAGTTTGAATTTCCACCATCTGAAGCAAGTAGGAATGACTGTGATGGTGGTCTGTGACCTGGAGAATCATTAACAGTAATTTTCAGCCAGCTACCTTCCTTTATGCAAGTTAAGAACTTTTCTGGAATGCTAATTCCTCTGCGTCCTAGCTCACGAATCCAATCCAGCAACAGATATGCATTCTGTATTATGAGTGGCCCGGACACGGTAGGTATTCCAGCATTGGGGGGATATATGTTTGGAATATCAGAAGCTTTTACATGAGTAATAAGGAACTCCATAAATTGTTCTCCTGATGTGCTTGTTCCGGCGAAACATGCAGGATACAAGTAGTCTTCCCCGAGCTCAATGTAGTTTTCTTCCCTCCAAGGATTAGAGCCAATCAACTCCACCCATTTGCTTCCATTCGCAGGGACAAGAACTCCACTCCTTTCTTTGGTCACATGACCATAGCTATCTACTAGCGGCATTTTACCACACAAAGAATCAATCGCCTCTCCATTCAGATAACGCCGAGCAAATGACTCGTATAGGAAGCAAGCATAGGCGATGGTGTTCTTCCGATTATCATTGAGGTGATTAGCTACCATTTCTGCATAGCTGTGCAACTTTATCTCAGAAACTTTCACCTCAACTCTAAGCCATTGCAGGATGGTCTCCTTCTTAGAAAATGAATCGATCGCTTCCTGTGTGCTTTTCGGCAGGAAAAAACGATTTCCAACAAATCCAAATTCCTTGTTCCAATCAATCAACCAAGATATACAACGAGTATGATGTGATCGACACAACAACCTCTCACTGTTCCGCTGAGCTGATTCGTTGATTCTGCACAAAGACACTCTACCATCACGATCTGCATATTTTATAAGTGGAATTTTGCCCATGCTGGTGTTGCAAAACTTCGTACGCCAATTATCGGCCACAAAAAGAAGAATTTGCAGATAAACATCTTCTGAGACACCCATTAAGAGATTAGAACTCCGAATGCACCTTGCATACCATTCATTTTTCACAGGTCCCACACCCAAGAAATCGAGTACTGAATCATACTCTGGTTCATCAAAGTAAGAGCTCAGAACATACATGCCATGGGATGAAAGATTATGCAAACCCACCCCTTCCTTCCTTGCCTTGTTCAGTATACCCCAGAATGCAGGCATTATTCGACCAATTTCCCGTGGTTTGTGAAAGAACTTCTGCGCTGTGGAAGACTCTCTTGGAACAATTTCTTCTTCAGCCAGCTCTGCTTTGATTGATTCTCTCACTGCATTAAATGCTGGATAGTGAGAGCTTTCGATTGGCAAGAACTGGAACATTCGAGGCAGACTAGACACTGGTGCATCTTCTGTCATTTTGACTAGCGAGACTAAAGCATTGACAAAAGCAAGCGGCACACAATCAAGAATCCCTTGATTCCATTTGTCATCCAAAAGTATTGTTTCCCTAGAAGATGCCAGAATAAAATCTGCTTGAATTATGAAGGGGAAATTTGTGACCATCTCCGTAGGAAGAAATGCATAGATTCCAGGCAAGCTCATTCCTCGATGGAGACGCTCTCCATTAGGAAAAGCCAGAGTGATTACCCAATCGTCCACTTCCATTCTCTTCTCGACTTTGTTTTCTTGTTGCACTGGAAACTTCTGTTTCCACATAAAATAGCTGCATTCTCCATCTACCTCACCAGCACTGTTTTCCTCTGCAGACAGATGGAGTGTGTAGGACTCGGCATCCATGCTCTTCCTTGTCCTGAAATTAGTCTCTTTTGTAATAGCTATTGCACTAACTGTATTAGGCTCAGGACCCTCATTCTCCTCCCTGACAGAAAGGCTTTTTATCTTCGAAAGAAATAGAAGGACTTCAGGATGAATGCTTGACAGCTGCTGCTTCACAGGCTTCACCTTGTCAGGCTTCAGGGGCAAGACTATAGTTGTTGTTGGAAGGGTTGAACCAGAACCATATATTTGTTTTATGTCAGAAAGAGATGGATTCTCCTCAACCCATTCAGGAACAATGTATCCAAGATTGCAATGGGGACAAGGCTTTTCATTGAAACGTATCTGATAGCCGTTGCTGAATATGATAGGCTGAGGAGTGATCAGAAACACACTCTTGAACCCGATTCCTGAAAATCAGCCAAATGTTTGCTACTTGATTTAGAACAACATTAATGATACATTATCAAATTTCCTACTAACACAGCTCGAAAAGATTGGCATGCTAGCGCAAGAGAGACAAATAGGACCATTAAGAACTAAACTCAGAGTCAAGTACAGAAATCAACTTTAATTATTAACTTAATCATGATTTTTGATCTCCATACTTATATTAATTATGTCATGAATGCCAAGTAACTAAACTCACTAAGATAGACATGTAGCTAGGATGCTAACATTAATTCATGAATTTGGTACACAAATTTGGCCCTGCTGATTTAGAACTAACAAATTAAACAGAATCTTCTCATCTTAATATTTGTATACACATACAACTTAAACATATATGGTAAATCCATTGAAACATCAGAATAGACTACTAGTTGAAATTTAGTGGAATTGAGTGATGGAGAAAATACCTTTCTCCCCAATATAACCACGTTTCCTGTTGCCTTTCTTAGTGGAATTCCCAACACTGCAAATGGACTCTATGTTTTTAGCAGAAAAACCCTTCTCGCTATTGAAAATCAGCAGAGTGGCTGGTGCACCAGTGGCTGTTATGTCCCGAGATGTTATGACGAACTCTAGCGAAGGGTCTACACCTTCCAAGTACTCATTGTCTTCTGCATTCTGAGAATGAAAATTAATTAAGCACTTAGTAAATTGTAACACAACCAAAAATTTAACTGTGAAAATTAAGGAACAGAGATCTGCATTTATAAGATGGTTTTGTGAGACAACCTGAATGAGTTCCATGAGAAAGTGGACATCTTTAGCGTAGAGTTCAGCAGAGAGAAACTTGACAGCCTGATCCAGCATAGGAGCCAAAGGGTTCTTTTCTCCTCCTATCGAGAATGTCGTTTTTCTTATCTGCTCTATGTGTTCTTTTGGAGTCCCCATTCTTGCTCTTGCAAACAGAAAAGATAAAAAAATACCCAGAAAAAAAAAGAAAAAAAAAAGATAGAAAAACGAGAAGTTGAGTAGTTACAGAGAGAAGAAAGCAGATCAGGTTTTGAAGGAAACAAAGAAAAAGAGGGGTAGCAGTAGTGACTAGCAGTGAAGTGAAGGGAAATGAGGAGACTAAAAAGACTTCTTCATGGGAAGGAAACATGTAAAGGACCAGGGAGAAAAAGAAGAGGAAATTGACTTTAAAACGAAAATAAAGGCATACGAATGGACAGTCCCACACTCCTTTCTTGTTTTTCTTTGTGTTGAAAAGTATATTAATTTTCAAAGAATTACAATGATCAATCAAAATAAATCACAAGATTTAGTGGAGTAATTAAAGAGATTAGTTGATTTATTTTGTAATAAATGTTTGATTTTTTTTTTTTTTTTTACATATTACTCATTATAAATATAGATTATTTTTAATATTTTTAAACATCAATCCATTAAAATATTGTATTTAACTTTTTATGGTTTTTATATATATAGAATAGACTATCATAATCGAATTACATTAATTTATTTGTTTTTAATAATTTTATTTTTTTCTACTTAAAATTTAAGAATTTGAGAAATAAGGAAACTTAAAGAGTGTGAGTAGCATGTTGAACAAAATGATTCAAAAAAATCTTGAATTTTCAGATTTTTAATTTGAATATTATAATCTATTTTTTTAATAAAAATAGATTTTTTAATTAATTTTGACTATACTTAATTTTGAATATATACATATAAAAGTCACATGACATGCCTGTTTTATTTTTTAAGTTTATAGATTTTTTTTTCATTTTAATTAAGGGCATTTCGATCAAAAAAATTTATTTGATCAAAAAAAATAATCAGAATAACGTATTGAATATTTCAAAAAGAATATTTTTTTTTACATTTTAATTAAGGGCATTTCAATATAAAAAAAAATTATTTTATCGAAAAAATTAATCAAAATGACAGATTCAATATTTGAAATACTTTTAAAAATAAATATGATACGATTAAAAACTTGAATAAACATATTTATTTTTTTTTTCATTTAAGAGTACTAGTATTCATCCATTTTTTCAAATTAAGAGATCACCTTTTTAGTTCAATCAAAATTAAGCTATTCATACATCAGAGCTAAAATGTCAAAAAAAATATTTGTTGTAATATTGGTTGGAGGTTTCAATCTTGGTACTTAATCAAGAAAGAAGAAAGCAGTCGGTATAAAGCATGGCCCACATATTATTCTTGCAATTTATTGTAATTTTCCATATTTCCCCTCCGATGTAAATTAAGCATGCATACAAATTTATAATTTTCTTTTTTTTTTTATTTATTCCTTTACCTAATAACGAAGGAAGAGATCTTTTTTAATGGGCTTGAGGAGAGAGAGAGAGAGAGAGAGAGAGAGAGAGAGAGAGAGAGAGAGAGAGAGAGAGAGAGACTTTCTAAAAAAGCATATAACAGTTGAAAGCAAAGGGAAAAAGTATATAGAAAGCGGAGATTTCCTACGTAGCTAGATTATATGCTTTGTCCGTACGAATGAGACTTTTTCATAAGTGAATGTTTCCTTTAGACTCTGATTCGACTGCCTAAAGTCCTCTTCAAGTCATGCATGGCAGTCCCCTTTTGTAAAGAAAAAGGTCAATAAAGAATAACGCAACAGTTTCGATGTGGCTAGCTTGTATCCTTTGATGATGATGATCATAAAAATGGTATCCGATCGATGTGAAGAATATGTGTTTGATTTGTATCGTCGGAAATTATAGCGTGGTGTACAAACAAGCATGTACGTACAGAGTAGCCTAACATGAACTATATAAAATTCTTGTGGACTCTTTAACCTAGATGTGAATTAGAGAAATGAACTATCCTGGTATGGAAAAACTAACTTGAGAATAACATCTACCCATAAAACTAAAACAAAAAAAAATTATAAAAAAAAATGCGAATCTCAAGTAGAACTCATAGATGGAATGGATCGTGTGATCCATATATGAGTTAACGGTTTGATGATGGGCTTTTCTACACAATCATGCGATGAGGTTGGAAAACCTATTAAGATGAGGTGGGTTTTTATGTATTTGAATTGTGGTGGTGACCGGTGGAGAATGGTGTCAGGATTTATTGAAACACCTGCAAAACAAGTCTCAATATTGACGAAAAGCGAGAACTCTCCGAGGATTAAGTTAGCAGATGTTGGAAGGTAATAAGCCTGAGAAAGCGATGTCGCAAGTGCAAGAAGAAGATGAATAGAGAACGAGATATCACAGATTATGAACCTTTTACCCTAAGGCTCACGACTGTTTATGTAGCCAATAAGCGCTACCAACTTGCAAGTCAATTTCCTTTGTCCACTCATAATTTTAGAGTTTGATTTGGGAGATAGGCGTCTGGAAACCATGGATTACCAATAAGCGCTACCAACTTGCAAGTCAATTTCCTTTGTCCACTCATAAGTGTAGATACTGATGTCATTTACATTATTACTTGACAGATGCAGTCAAGTGCATTTATTACATATACTACTTGACATTGTGATTAGGGGGAGATAAATATGATTAACTCGAGTGTTCTCATCCGTCCAGGATATGAAAAGAAGAGCCCAAAAAGATATAGGACAAAAGCCTAGCCGTCATGATGTAATTAGCTAGTCTACTCATCCGCCTAGAGTATGGTCGGATGAATTTGGTTGTGACACAGAGTTCTTTGTACAATTATGCGTGTAGTACGACCTTATAGATACGCGAGTTCTCTAAGTACATTAGTTGCCCTCCTTAGTTTTCGTGGCTTACAATGCACTAAGATTGAAGAAATTCTTGTGCTGGGGTGTAATATCTACTCACTCTTGGTGGAAGGCCTTTCGGTTGTTGAATTTATCGGGAGTAGTCGACCGTCGATGGTTGGAGCACTCTAGGGTTGGATGGGAGACCGTGTGGGCAGGTTAGTTGGAGGAACGTGTGCTGCAAGTGCTGTCATAACCCATTTTTTACGCTCATAAATTTTTATTTTTATACAAAATTTAAAAATTGCATGTTGCATGTATATTTTCTTGATCTTTTCATAATATTTAGGTACTTTTATGAATTTTTAAGATTTTAATTTCTTAGGATTATTTTCTAATTTTAATTAAATAAAAAATAATAAATAAAATAAAAAAAGAAGAAGAAGAAAAGAAAGAAAAAGGGAGAATAATTTGAAAAGATAATTTGAGGTTCAATTGAAAAAAGATGTGAGAGGTGTGGACCAAATAACATCTAATTAGAGGTATAACTGGAAGAGAATAAAAAATCAAGGGTCTTAATTGAGAATGATTTAGGATAAAATTAAAAGACAAAGAATTAAATAATTTTAATTAGGGGCGTGATTGATGAGAAAAAAATGAGATGAGGACCAAAATTGAAAAAATAGAAAAATAAAGGACCAAGCTGAATTCTACCAAAAAAAACTACTATAAAAATCTCTCTTTTTTTCAAGAGGCAGCTACAATTCACTCTCCAACAAAAAAGTCTCTCCACTCACCTCTCCCACAAAAGCCACCAAAAAATAAAATAAAATAAAAATAAAACTCACTTATCATCTATGGCCACCGCAATCTAAGCCAAACAAAATCCCTAAATCATCCTTTAAATTCTAAATCAAAATTTTGTGTGAGCTGCGTCTTTCAAAATTTAATTATTTGATCCAGTTTTTAATTTTATTTTAATCTAAATTTTTCACAATTTGTACATATACTTGTCCTTAGCTTGTGTTTTAAATTTCATAATTTTATGAGTCTATTTGCTATTTATTTACAATTTAGTTATTATTCCGCCATTATTTTGATTATCAGTGTGAGTAGTTCCAAAATTTAATTATTTGGTCAAGTTTTCGACTTAATTTTAATCTGAAATGTTTAGAGTTCATATATATGCTTGTCCTTAGTTTTTCTTTTAAATTTTGTAATTTTAAAGTCTATTTGCTATTTATTTGCACTTTGTTTATTATTTTATTGTTATTTCAATTATTAGTGTGAGTTGTTTCAAAATTTAATTATTTGGTCCAATGTTTAATTTCATTTAAATCTGAAATTTTTAATGTTTGTAAATATACATGTTCTTAGCTTGTTTGTTAAAGTTTGTAATTTTAAGAGTTCATTTACTATTATTTCCAAATTGATTTATTATGCTGCCATTATTTTAATTGCTAATGTGAGTGTGTTTGAAAATTTAATTATTAAGTCCAGTATTTAATTTTATTATAATTTTAAATTTTTAGATTTTTTTTAATATGTTTTTCCTTAGCATGTTATTTTAAATTTTGTAATTTTAAGAGTCCAATCACTATTATTTTGAAATTTATTTTTTATTCTACCATTATTTTAATTATTAATCTGATCGAGTGTGTTTTAAAGTTAAAATACTAAGTCTAGTGTTTAATTTTATTATAATCTAAAATTTTAAGGGTCTATTCACGTGTCCCTAGACTTTTTTAAAAAAAATTGTAATTTTAAGAGTCCATTTACTATTATTTTACAATTTATATATTTATTCTACTATTATTTTAATGTGAGTGTGTTTTAAAGGTTAATTACTAAGTCCAATGTTTAATTTTATTATAATTTGAAATTGTTAGCGTCTGTTCATGTGTTTATTCTTAGCATGTGTTTTACGTTTTGTAATTTTAAAAGTCCATTGACTATTATTTCAAATTTTATTTATTATTCTACCGTTATTTTAATTATTAACATATATCTGTTTTAGAATTTAATTATTAAGTCCAATATCCTATTTTATTTTAATCTGAAATTTTTAGGGTTTGTTCATGTGTATGCCTTTAGAATATTTTTTAAATCTTGTAAGTTTTGGAGTATATTAACTATTATTTGTAATTTATTTACCATTCTGCCATGATTTTAATTATTAATGTGAATGTGTTTCAAAATTTAATTAGTAGGTCTAGTGTCCCATTTTAATTTAATCTAAATTTTTTAGGGTTATTTCACATATCTAGTTTTAGCTTATTTTTTAAATTTTGGTATATTTTCAAAGTCCATTTTTTATTATTTTTGCAATTCATTTGTTATCCTACCATTATTTTAATTATTAGGGAGGTTTGTATTAAAATTTAATTATTCAGTCCATTATCCAATTTCATTTAAATCTGAAAATTTTAGGGGAGGTGAAGGCATGTACTAATAGATTGTCTACAAATTTTTGTTAAATTTAGATTTTGTTTGTTGTTTATTTCATTATTTTTTTTGTTATGTCCCGCTTATAATTAATTTACTTATTAAAGTTTTTCAATTCATTTAGCTAGATGTGAGATCGTGAAGTCTACTAAATTTTAGGGATTGATGACAATCTCATTTTGCAATTAGAAAACACGTCATCTTAGGATAATTAGGAAAATTTAGGTCGACTCGATGAGTCTCCTGTTTGAATAGGGACTGATGTTGGTCTCGATCTGCAATCAAAATAATAAATAAATAGCTAGAATAGACACAAATCGTTTTAGACACCTTTAGCTAATTAAGTCATTCTCGACATGCCAATCATGTCATGATGTAATTGGATCCGATTTTAAATTGATGCAATTTTTAATCATGAGATCTGATATTAATTTAATACAATATCATAATAAATAATAATAATAATAATAATTTCAAAACTAGAGAATATGTTTAAATTACTTTTTTTTTCATTTTCAATCACAGGGATTAAATTAAGAACATCATATTTTGTCCACTGTGCATCTACTAATGTGGTAGGCGACTAGGCGTGCCTACAAGGAGTTCGTACAACGTGTTCTTTACATTTGTCGTTTATGCAACGATTTGGAGATATGCAGACTTGCGATCTATGGAGGAATTATTTAGTATTTTGATAATTTTATCAATTCTTTTCACAAAAATATGAGATCATTAAGTTATTTTTAAGACAAATAGCCTAATTTATTTTTATATGATAGTATGAGTCTTTAATTTATTTTTATATTTTTAATTATATCTATTATGTCTCTAAATAATATTTAAGTGTTCAATCTATTCTTCCGATTAATTTTTTTTATTACGAGCAAATTTTTTAATCGAAATACCTTTGATTGAAATGTAAATAAAAAAAATTACATATATTAAAAATGAAACAAACAGGTTGTATGACTTTAAGGTTTTTTTTTCATTTCAATCAAGAATATTTTGATAAAAAAAATTTTTACGGTCAAAAAAATTAATCGAAAAAACAAATGAAAGATTTAAACATTATTCAAAAATATAATAAATATAATTAAAAATATGAAGACAACTTGAAGGATTAAATTATTATATAAATATAAATCGAGGCCTCGAAGATAATAATGATTATAATGGTAGGTACTTCAATCGAGAATATATATATATATATATATATATATATTGAAAAATAGTTATTTTTTCAGTATTTTGATGTATTAAGGAAAATAATTTTATGTAAAATATATTATATTTCGTTGGTTGCTCTTGAATAATGATAACAAGATGAAAAAAGTTGTACTCGTTTGTAATAGAAATAGTGGTAGTGTTAACTATGATGATTATAATGGTGGTTGTAATAATGTTAGTAATAATAAGATGATGATTGTTGTAATGATGATGAAGATACTAACGGTGATAAAATAATGATTGTAATAATAGTTAGTTTAATAATAAGATGGTAATGTTGGTGATGGTAGCGACAATTAGTAGTGTTAATTGTTTTTTATGATAGTAATAGTGTTGGAGTGACGATTATGACGGTAAAAATGAGGAGATTACATACATAACCAAATGGTGGTGACGAAAGGTGTTGGTACTACCATTGGTGGTGAGAAGATGATTTTTATTATGATGGTGGCGATAGTCATGAGGAAGTGATTATTGTTATGGTGGTGGCGGTGTCGAAGGGTTATAATGGAATGGTAGTTACATTGACAATAAGATGATGGTTGTACTAGCATTCGTCGTTGTTGATGAGGAGGTGATTGTTATTATTGTGGTGGTGGCAATAATGAGGAGGTAATTGTTGTTATGGTAGTAGTAGTGTTAGCAAGTTATAATGGAATGGTGGTTATATTGACAATAAGATGATGATTGTATTGGAGTTTACGGTGGGGCTTAGTGATATTACATTAGAGAAGAAAAAAGAAGAAGAGAGATAATTACCATAAAACCTTTTTAAAAAATTTTATTTAAAAAATTCACTAATTTATTTTTAAATATCTCAAACCCAAAACAATATTTTTCTTGTCAAAACACCTAATTATGAACCCCCACATCTTAGCACCGATTAACTATCGAATATTTTGATAATAAAAAATATTGTTTTGGATTTGAGAGATGTAAAAAATAAATTGATGAGTTTTTTAGATAAAATTTTTTATTTATTTTTTTTTTGGTAATTATCCTTAATTTAAATAAAATAATTATTTTTTAAGCTATGTATTTCTATTGTGGATGCCTATATTCTATTTAACCAAGATACTAAGATATATTATAGAGTCATTACTTAATTTAATTTAATTGTTTGATAAAAATGTTAAGTTTTGATTAATTAAAAACTAGTACTACTAATTGTACTTTTTTTATAAATATACTAGGATTTAGGAGCTCGCTAATATTCATAATCATGCATATTCTTAATTTTCTTATTTGTATTATATCCATTTAATTAAATTACACGAGGATATCAAGAGTATCATTTCCTTAACATCAATTAGTTGAATTGCATCTGCTACTATAGCTATTAGATAGTAAAACTTATTTCTTAATTGATGAAACAAACAATCGATACAAAAAAAATGATATATAAAAAAAGTATAATACGCTAATGTTATACGTGATTTTCTAAATATATTAGGATTTAGGATATCGTTAATGTTCATAATCATGCATATTCTTAATTTTCTTATTTATATTATATCCATTTAATTAAATTACATGAGGATAACATGAGTATCATTTCCTTAACATCAATTAGTTGAATTGCATCTACTACTGTAGCTATTAGATAGTAAAACTAATTTCTTAATTGATGAAACAAACAAACAATCAATACCAAAAAAAAAAAAAAAAAGATATATAAAAAAAGTATAATACGAAAATATTACCCGAAAGGTTAATGTGTCACCAATCAAAGAACTTGAGAAATTTTTTTTCCTTTGGATTGCAACCAGAAAGAACCTGAATTTGATCTTGATTAAAAAAAAAAAAAAAAGTACCAAACTTATCAAAAACTATGAAATGAGATTATTATTAACTAATTACTAAAAAACCATCTAAAAAAATTTTATCTAAAAAACCCATCAATTTATTTTAAATCCCTCAAACCCAAAACAATATTTTTCATACCAAAACATCAAATGGTTAATTAGTGTTAAGTTGGAGGTTAACTATAGAATGTTTTGGTCGAAAAATACAGTTTTGGATTTGAGAAATTTAAAAATAAATTGATTGGTTTTTTAGATAGAAGATTTTTAAAAAAAGTTTTTCCAGTAATTATCCAAAAAAAAAAAAAAGACAAATAAATAAAGGCGATAAAAAGTCTCATATCTAATTAAATCAGTTAAATCATATCAAATTTAATGTGTGATCGCCAATGTGGTCCACTACGTTCACCTTCAATAGATGCATAAAACGATGAATACTCCTAAAATACTAGATTTGTTTTCCCACAAACAACATACTACATCCTGGTAGGAAAATTCTGTGTTGAAGAGTAATAAGTAACAATTACTTCAAAGGAGATTTATAGACAGAAAAAAGAGAACAATTAAAACGTCGTCGCTTCGACACTGTAAAATCAATTTCTTAATTATTATTTTTTACATTATTACAATTATTCCATTGACTCACTTTTAAAGGAAAAAAAATCACATCCAAAATCAACAGTGTAAAAATATTCCCACTCGAACCAAATTTCTTCTATTAATTTTCTCCCCATTGTCCCCCCCCCCCCCCCCCCCCCAACCACGGTCTATCTCCTTACAGAATAAATATTAATAGCTTCTCCATAAGTAATATAAAATTTCTCGGAGGGAGAGCATCTGTATCGTATAACCTGATGCCTTCTGTGGCTGTGAAGAACCGAAAGGAAAATCCCACTAAGCCGAGGCTACGCAGGATGAACAAGAAATGGCTGGCACAAAAGTTGGAACTCACTGAATAGCAAACAATGTCCAAATCTCCAAGTCCTAGGCAGGTAACACCTAAAAGAAAACTACGTGCAATACAGACACTATCCAGTGCTAAGGTGCAAAATATCTATGGATGAATCAAGTTTACAATTTATAGGAAGAACACTTCTAATCATAATTTAGAAAGCTTCCAACTTCAAAAACTGTACAAGAAAAGTGGGGGTGGATTTATACACTGGCTGACCGTGGCCTCTGTTGTGTAGATTATCCACTTTATATCATGAGGTTGTACAATCAATACAAGCAATAATTGCAAAACAAAAATGGAAGGCATTTCTTTGAACCAAATGAAAGCTAAGCACCTAATTCAAAAGGAAAACTTTCAATTCATAATTGTGCTACCTCCGACTGCCAAAAACCTCTGATTTACCCTTGAATAAAAGATTCATTGATAGGCCTACTGATGATGGATTAAACGGACGGATAAATCTCCGAGATGGAGCCACCTGGGGGTCTTCTTTATTGGTTTTCCTTCTTCTGGAAGGACCTCCAATGGCTCCAGCACTTTTAATAGAGGATTTTGAATCGAATATTGATGAACTAAAGGAAGTATCTGATGTACCAAATGAAACAGGGCCACCTTTATGTGATGCATCCATAGGATGCCCAACTGCTGCGTCCTGATGCGGAGGTGGGAATTTCTCACTCTTGCTCTTAGCGTTTGCTTGTGTCATGGCTCTCCATCTCTGGATAGTATCAAACAAATGAGAATTTCAAGTCAAACTATACTTTGAAAAACCAAGAAGAGAGTAGAGAACGTATGACATCTGCTGCAGATCATGATGTGAAAGACCTAACCAGTTGACAATTCTGACCGGTTTATTTGACAACTGTGGGCCTAAGATACCTAAGCCAAAGTGGATTTCACCATATAACAAGGACCTGTGACCAACCACAGTTTTCTAATGATAGGGAAGGAGGAGTAAACTAAGAGAGATCAAGAACGGATATCACAAAAGAGTTCTCAAAATTAGACTTGCCCAGCAAGTCTACAGAGATACAGCTTAAGTATATATACCTAGAAACTCATCAATAATGCAATGACATATATAGAACATGAGAATTCTAAAGATGGATGGATTCAGGGGTGGTTGGGTTTCTGCTATCTCGTAGCAAAAAGAGGAGCTAAATAGAGAAAACAAATAATATAAACGTAACAAGAAGAACTCTTTCACATACATCTAGGTTTGCTGGATTCTCTGCATTGGCCTCTGGAGCTGGGATTGCCCGACCAGCCCGATCACGAATCCTTACTTTTCTCGCACCATCAACGGCATTAGCTTTTCCACTAAGGCCCCTTTGCCTGAGAAGAAAATTGATAATTAAAGATCAACTTTCAGCATGTAGCCCAGTGTACTGGCTTAAAACCAAAATAGGTTGACAAGAATGAAGAATAAACTAACCTTCTTGCTTCTTCATCTCTCAACTTCACATCCAATTCTTTACTGGGAGGATATTTAGGCAAACTCGATGGCTCACATGCAAAAGGTTCAGTGGTGAAGAACTGTAGTAAGAAAACCAATTACATGATTAAACGCCAAAAAATATATATCAAGCCATAAATAAGTTCAGGGAAAATAAAGACTTATGGAGAAGTAAGAATATATCACCCAAGTCCTTGTGTCAAACAGTAAATATCAGTTTGAAGTTTGCAAAACATAAAGCCATTTTCAAACATATATAAGTTAAATTGGCAAATAATTGAGTTAAAATCACTCACTTCACTATTTAGAGCAGCAGTGGCAGAGACTCGATCATCAGGATCTATCGAAAGAAGAGTTTCAATTAAAGGCAGAGAAGAAGGGGGAAATCCTTGAATGTTTCTGCTGTACATCGTTTGTATGGCTGTTGTGGTTTAAAAAGTGTTGCATTTGGCAATTTGGATTTCTTCCAATATTCCTCGGATGGGGAGCCACATAACTTAAATATCTTGTGCAGTTGTTCGACCTAAGCAGGGAAAGAATTGAAAAGTAAATCAACTGTGAGCAGTGAGCCTGCAACTGAGAGAGAAAATAACTAACACAAAAATATCATCAATGGAAACCACAAATGGTTGAGACGATACTACCTCGTCAATAAAAGCAATACAAACTCCAAAACCAATAATGCAAGGTACAACTGCTGACGGTGTACTGAATTAACATACTATGCTTAATGTTTCATGATAACAAAAGGCTTCCATGGTTGGTAGCTCAGATGACTGCAGATTTATCCAGGCATTACATTAATTGGTTTGACGCTATCAATTCCCTAATAATGTTCAATATCCATATAACATAGACTAGCATACCATATCATTCTATATTACCATGTAACCCAAGATAAGGTAGGGGTTATTTCTTCTATCTTACTGCTGCTACTGCTTCATACCTAGCTCCCATGTTTGAGCATAGGACTCAACATCACTACCTCATTTTAATTAGGGCATCGATGCACATCCACACTATCATTTGCAGCCCTGATGAAGACTTAAAATATATTGTAAAGATTCTAGTTGTAACAACTTCATCATTCAACCAGAACAACTGAATTTGCATACAAATCTATAAATCTAGTATGCAAGTAAAACTAATACCTCTGTCCGTCCAGGCATTATTGGCTTCCCAGCAAGTAGCTCTGCCAAAATGCAGCCAGCACTCCAGAGGTCCACACCAACACCATAATAAGTGGCCCCAAGAAGAAGTTCGGGGGGCGGTACCAGAGGGTGACGACTCGACTGGTCATAGTAACCTTGCGATCAGGATCATAGAAAGTAGCCAGTCCAAAATCAGCAATTTTTAAAATTCCTTCATTATTAATAAGCAGATTGGAACCCTTGATATCACGGTGCAGAACACCATGGGTGTGGCAATGCTCAAGCCCAGATAACAACTGCTTCATGTAGCACTTGATCTGCCAAAGGGAATAGATGGAAAAAAATGCACGAGTCAGTTATATGATACATTTCCATGATGTCAAACTGCTGGGCATAGACAATCACCAAAAAAAACTCCTTATGCTATTAAAGACCTGATATAAGAATGGTTACTATGGTGCTACTGGTTACATTATATACAAGTTTCTATCCTAGGTAAGCTTCTCATTTGGGCTGGCATTTCCACCAATAGTAAGAAGCACTGGATCTTTCCTAATTTAAACAGCCAAACTGATCACAAACATATATAGCATGAAAATAACTAACATTCTGGGTTACTATTTTTTGTTCAGCATCCATAAACTATCAGTTAGTTTCGATCAATACTTTTTAGACATTGACAAATAATTGATGATGAACAATGACATTTACTTTTCCATTGAGCTTCTAGAAATGAAAAATTCAACTAAACAAAGCCAAAGTGTCCAACACTATCAGAGTGACAAAACAATCAAATTATCTCATGCCACAAAAAGTAGCAAATCTTGGGAGTTACCTCTTCTATTTTTGCATTTACTCACTTCCAAGATAAAAAGCTGATCAGTCCTCTCAAAAAATGAAAAGTTAATTAAGAAAGGAGATTTCTATATTCATAAATGTCGTGATGTAAAGTTTGGACTTTCCATGAATCTTCAAGCCCAAAATAATACAAACATCATGTTGATCGTATGAAAGCTCTATGCACCATAAGATCACAAATACACAAAGTTGGGCATGCAAACTACAAGATGATGGGACCCAGTAGCCTTGGAGATGGCTTGAAGTAACATCAAAGCTCCCAAGCAAATCAAAAAAAGACAAACATGTCCACAACCTCAAAGCACCCTAGTTAAGCCAACAAGATGAAAAAAGCACAACACCCCCGAAGGCTAAAAAAAACAACCCAAAACAGTCCAATAGCAGCACATGCCGTCATGCAGAATCCATCAACACCAAACAACCCAAAATTACACCCATAAATCTCATTAACTCTCACATTACACAACAAACTACAATAATATTGAAATCGACCCACAGGACATCCAATCTTAAATTAACAAACAATGTACCTGAGGCTCAGTGAACTTGACACCTTGGCGTGCCGCCAGCCCTGCAAGATCGTGTTCCATGTACTCAAAAACCAAATACAGACTACAAGACATTCTTGAAGTAACCAACCCTTCAAGCTTCAGCACATTTGGATGATCTAATCTTCGTAAAACAAGAATCTCTCTTGCCATAAATTTAACACTCTCTGGCTCTAAATTATCAAACCTCACTTTCTTTAAAGCCACTATCTTTCCTGTTATTAAATCCCTTGCTTTATACACATTGCTATATGTCCCTTGCCCAATCTAAAAATCCAAAAAATAAAAAATGTTAATAACTCAATAAATGCAATTAAAATTAATTAAACTTGGGTTTTAGTTTCTTTAATTACCTTATCAATTTTCTCAAATGAATTAGCTCGGCGAGGTGTCCAATCGCCGATAGCATCACCGGCAACCGCCATTAGCCACGATGGCCACCCTTGCTGACACTTCAGACTAGCTTCCGGCCGTGGCCTCCGCCTTTCGGCCGTCCCCTGAACATCCGCCGCGGGAAAATCGCCGGTGTGTCGTACTGCCTTCTGCCTCTGCGTTGATGCTTTTGCTATCGTTGTTGTTTTCTCCCTCCTAACCCTAACTGCAGCGTTAACGGTTTCGGTGACAGTAACGGATGGTTCATCGGAGCTCCGGCCACGGTCGGAGGATCCTCCACGACTCTGGCGATCCCTGGCGGTGGACTTGCCAAGAATACAACCCATTAGTTTAGGTTCTGTACATCGGGGACTAGAAATGAGTGGTTTTCCGGTGACGGCAGACCGCTAGCGGTGAGATTCTGTAAAAACTTCTGAATTCGAAACGACAGCGTTGTGAAGTTTTTTTAAAAAAAGAGGAAAAGGTACAACGTTTGGATTAGTTCACGGAGATAGAACGGAACGTGAACGGCGGATTAACGGTAAAAGAAACTTAGAGAGAGAGAGAAATTTTAAGCCCGCGAAGAAGTTAAGGTGTAAGCTTATGTTTTTCGGAGAGACAGACAGACAGTGAAGATACTGAGAATTGGATATAAGAACTAAGACATGGAGATTTGAATATTTACAGGAATGCCACTGAGAAGGTGAGTGAGTTGTCGCTTGTCAGTTCAAAGGTGGACAGGATTTTTGTTTTCTTTTCAGTAATTTTATGTCACTACTCTCTAACTCATTTTACATTGGGAAGGGTAGATTTTACGAATGACGTCATTGGGTGAGGGATATCGAAAGTCAAAGGAGAAATAGAAAGTTACTTTTGGGAGACTGAAATTAGGAGAGTGGTGTGTTCTTTTTGTAGCTCTGAACCACAGGATTTGAAAAAGCAGGGGAAAAATAAAATCTAAGGGCAGAAAAGCATGGAGCCTTTCCCAAAAGTATACCCATTTGGAACCATCTTATTGGATCTGGTCTCATGTTGTTTACTCTCGGATGGAAAGTGTCCCTCCCATAATGAAATCTATCTATAGACCCTACTATATTTTTGCTACGATTAAAAATAGGTTATTTGGAGAGGAAAAAAAAACTTTGAATTGTCACAAAAGTTTCCCTCGTCTGATGCTCGTGAGATTGACTAATTATCATCATTCGTTGAAAATAAGCTGAATAAGATAAAGATATAATAAATCGCGGGGATTAATGAATCACAAGGTTCATTGAATATTTCTTCACAAAAATATACACACATTTATTTCCTTGTATAACATAATAAAGTAAAAAATAAATAAATTTATTTATATTTATACAATACATAATATCTCTTATTTGTTTTAGATTTTTAATTTCATCAATTCTGTTTTTTAAAATTTTTTAAATATTCAGTCTTTTATTTTTATTAAATTTGTCATTCATAAAATTTTTTTTATTGAAATATCTTTTATTAAAATATATAAAAAAAATTAAAAAAAAATATTTAAAATCACACGACTTAATTTTTTTTTATTTTAATCAAAAATATTTTTGTTAAAAAAGATATTTGATTGAAAAATTAAAAATGAAAGATAGATTGAATGTTTTAAATATAGATACATTTGGATATGTTTATGGTAAAGTGAAATTAAATCAAAAGTTTGGTTAATAAGTGATGGGACGAGGGGCAAGCAGCGAGTTAAAAGGAAATGGCAGTGCTGGTCCTAAATTCTAGCTGCATTCGTTTTGAAATGAAAGGGGTGGCAGCTGGGACATTAAAGCGGTGGAAGTCAATTTTATTGCACATATCTAAATTGTACTGTGTTCTCATAGCATCTGCATTGCCATTTATTTCTTTTATGTTTTTTATGCTGAGTTCTTGTTTATTATTATTATTATTATTATTTATAAGGACCTCAAAAAGCTTTTCATTCAAGCTACTAAGTAGCATAGGTTCATGTGAAAAGGAGGAATCGTCCTGCCAAACTGCAGCAAATATACGAAGTTAATTCCACCCACCGCACCAAGCTCTGTTTAAGTTGTCTACTGCATTTATTGAAGAAACATACAGAGGGAACAGGGTTCGAGTAGAAATTTTATAATATACAACCTTTGACTAATAGCATTCAAAACAGTTATTTTATAGATCTACCTCAACGAGAGAGATAAACATACAAATAATAATAATAAAAAATATATATATATATTTAAATAGATGTAAAAAATTTTTTATCATTTTTAATAGGTGCGAATGTAATTTTTTTTAATATATATCTATCTCTTTTTTCAAAATAGATTTAAAAAATAATTATTATATATATCATTAGTTATTCTTTGTGTATTATAAAATTTTATAGGTTTTAAAAAAATATATATATATATAATCAGCTATTTTTACGTTAAATTTTTAAATAACCACTTGATTCTTTTTAAACCAAACCAAATGAGCCTTAAAAATATTATCAAAAAATGATAATTATGATTAATTATAAGTTTACAGTGGAAATTGAATTTTGATGTTGATGAAATCAAAATAATTTTCTACCGCTAAATTACTTTTTACTTTGTTGGTAATATATTACCAGGTCCATTTTAACAAATCTATACGGCAACATATCTGTTGAAACATCAACAGGTATATTCGTATAAATAGATTGATATACCAACGTGATACATCAATGCATTTCAATTGACATGTTGACTTCTTCCCTCAATACATGCACATGCACATGCACCCTAGCATGGACAGGGTAGCATCACAGTCCCACAGCATTACTAAAATAAAACTAAAGTTTATCATTTATTTTCATTATTTAAAACACTATTTATACACTTATAAATTATTATTAACGCATTCACAAATCGTTATTTCTTTTATTATTCATGTTATTTTTTAGCACTTTGATCTTCAATTTTTCTATAGTTATTTTTTTCAATTTCAAACCTTAATTATATTGTGATTTGATCTCATTTTATTTTAGTCTTTTCTTTTAATTATTTTTATTATTTAAATTTTAAAATTTTACTTTATCATTTTTTTAATATAGTCATATGTTATTAATATTATTATTTTTTTACACTAAGCAATTACTAATTATTTATTTATTTTTGAATTAAATAATTAAAATAATATTTTTGCTTAACCACTTAATTTTTCAAATTAACATAGTTTTTTATTTTAATATTATTCATTCTTTTGTAAATAAATATATAAAAATTAAATTCATATTTTTTTAAAAATCGATATCCCCATCAACATTAAATAAAAAAATAATTGTCCAATTCTATATAAGCTTTTTAATAGTTGTTATTTATGTTTTCCGATACAATCTTATGAAATACTAAAGCTTTTTTTAAAAAAAATTATTTAATTTTCTTTTTAATTAATAATCCATGGATTAACAAGGATAAATCATTTTTCTAAAAGGAAAAATTATGAAAAAGCACAAATACAAAATAGTTAAATATAAAATTTTTTATTAAAAAATTATAAATAATTTTTTTCACCTTTGATTTCATATATTTTTCTGAACGGTTTTATATATTTTATCCAACTTGTAGTGTAACACGGACAAAAAAACTAATATAGTCTTAAAGTATATATAACCCTAACAAAACATACATTAATTCTTGTTTTCCAACGCCTTATGTTGGTTAATGCTCCTTGACAAAGTGCCACATTGTAGCCTCATTAGCTTTATGCCTTTATCCACATGGGAAATAGTTTCGAGATTGTCTCCTTAATTTATCTACGCTAAAAATAGATGCAAGTATGTTTTTTTTTTTTTTTTTTTGTAAGTTCAGCAGTAAAAAATTTTTCGAATGCAAATATGTTACTAATTAACTTAATAAATAGCATTTATACAATGATATTTATGTTAATTTTCAACAAACTTTCTGTCGTTCAGTCAATTAAATGACCCTTACCAAGTAGTGTTTTAATCTTTGTTAAAGCATTCACACTTCCATACGGTACTGCCCCTTTTTTTTTTATAGAGACTCTAAAGGCAAAAACCCTTTAGATTATAGTATTGTTTCATTGAAAACTTGGGATTTGGATCAAGAAGACATGTGTCATTACACAGAAATTGCCCACCAGATGAAGTACACCACTGATTCTTTTCTTTTTCCTTTTTTCTTGAACAACGATGAAGCACTGATTCCTTCCTTAGATTTACTCAAGGAATCTAGCACCCTTTCAAGTAGCACGGGCAATTAATTATTCTGAAGTCCCAACCAAGAAAAGTGATTGCAAAGCATTTAAAAGCTCATTGACCCTATTACGTCTAACATAATTGGAGAGTTGTCTTTGCAAGCTCGCACAGGGCATATTTGTATTTTACGGATAGTAACAAAAGTCTTCATAAGAGAAACATGATTCAGAGAATCCGTAGAGACACAAGTCCGAGGCAGAACAATGAATTGACCAAGTAAAGGTGGCCAATTAGATGGTATAATTAGAAGGAATGAGTGTGACTTTGGAAGAATTATCGAGATGACGACTGTGTTGAACAATTATGGGCATGAGACGACTGTACAAACCAAAATTCTCACCAAAATCGGAGAAAAGAAAGGGAGAATGAAAAGGAGAGTTTGATTTTTGGGGAAAGGATTAAGCAGCTACAACAAACACAAGTCAATCTGTCGAACCTTTCAACACATAAAAAGCACGGTAGTTTGAACGTGTTGAATCTGCAAGCCCATTGCCATTAAATTCCCCTTATTTAATGGCAACCTTCCACGACCTGACATTTCTATTCTCTTAAAGTCCTTTTCCTTCACTCACTCTTAACTTTTCCAATACGATTAATGCTTGTTCGTACAGCATATGCTCCCTCCACTTACCCTACTGCCTCCATCGATGGCCTTGTTTGCTCGATGATATTAATCGTAGGGAAAGTAAAGAGGGGGTCTCACCAACAAATAAACGATACTTTATAAGGATATTTAGGATAGATTGCACGTTAATTAAATTTAGAATTTTTTTCTGCCGATGATTTTAAGCATATATAAATATATATATATATATTCTCAACATCGGCTTTATGCATTCAAAATAATATATTTCCTCACATATTTATCCTTAAATTCGAGATTAAAAAATTAAAAGAGAAAGTAAATCCCATTCACCATTTTAATAAAGAATTTTTCCCACGTTTGAATCCTATATTTTTCTTTGTTTTTAATTAAAATTCTATACTATTTTTTTGCTTAATTGAAATCTTTTATTTTTAGATTTTTTTGCTTCGTACATTTTATTATAATATCATCAATTAATGATGAGCAAATCACATATGCTCTTTGAGATTTTTTTTTTTTTAAAC